ACGTGTTGTTATTCTAATCTGTTTTCCACATGAACATGGCTGTCTCGCTAAACACCGAGACCGATGGACCTATGGGGTCCTCGTTTGATGAGTCTACTGCAGCTTGCGGACAGGTTAACTGTTCAGAGCCAGTAACAGATGCATCTGGTGGTATGCAGTGTGACGTCTGCTGCCGCTGGTATCACGAAAGCTGTACCGGCCTACAAGCTGACCAGTACCAAATGCTATCATCAAGCGTCCACTTTCTTTTCAGCTGCGCTGAATGCTGCGCTAAAAGATCGACGCGCCCGGCTGTCACCGGTGCTAAACTTTCAGCGTTGGCTTCAAGGTTGGCAGATGTTGAGTTGGCGATAGCTAAACTCGCCTCTATTGCGTCGCTCGATACGAAAATGGATTTAATTTTAAAATCCCTAAATATTTCGTTTGAAGACACAGCAATAGCCGGCAACATTGCTGACGATCCATCCACTGGAGTCTGTCACTCGATCATAAAGTCGCACATCCTACCGGCCAATCCAGGTAGCATTGCTGGCGGTCCTCATGATCCGATCAAAGTGAAGAAAAATAGGGTGCGGAAATACCAAAAGCCCTCTGCTAAACCCAGAGAAATAGTTGCCACGGCATCGAACGAGATGCCGTCTTTGACAGTCGTAAAGTCGTCTGAAGATTGCACACAGAACTTTCCACAGACGCTGACTGTCTCGGCCGCCAGTGAACCAGCCTGTTCTGACGAAATGCTGGTAACTGCCCAATGCGATACAAAGTCAACGGCCCCTGCTCCAGTGAGCCAAAAGAAGAAGCGGACAAGATCTGCTCGTAAAACTTCGAAGGGGCTTGAAGACCCTGGAACCAGTAAGACGCCGGCAATAGAGCGGAAAACCTACGCTACCGTTGCTTCGACGTCGTTTGGGAAGCCAGCGACAGTCCCACCGCCAGTGGTGAAAACAGCTGGTATAGGTGTCGAATCAAAGGCACGTGGGGTAAACACTCCCCGTCGTGCCGACTCTTTCACGGATAGTAGCGTTATATTCCGTAACGTTACTGAATCTGAGGCTGTTCTCCCAAGGGAACGCATCTTGGATGACATCAAGTGGCTGAAACTGTGTGTCAGCAAGCTGCTTCCACCTGGTTTCCCTGGTGTCACTGTCAGAAAGCTGACCAGATTGGGGAACGTTCCTATCGCTACGCCAAATCCACGACCCCGACTACTTCGCGTAGTCCTTTCTACCCCGGAGGAACGCAAATCGTTACTGCGATTTGCATTCAAACTTAAGGGTAGTGGTGTCAGCGTTCAGCCGGACCTCCCACTGGCAGATAGGTTGAAGTTAAAGGAGGCTATCAAAGACCTCAAAACTAGACGGGCGGCTGGTGAACAAGGCCTCCGTCTGGTGGGTTTTCAGGTGGTCAGCCGGAAATTACTTTCCGCCCTATCAGAACCAATCCTGATGGCGCACGACCCAGGGATGGTCGTGCCGACTTCCTTGAGGTAGTACTTAGCAACGTGCGTAGCCTAAGGAACAAGGTGCACGAGTTGGGTCTACTTGTAGACAAATCTCGTCCCGACATACTTGCTTTCACTGAGACGTGGTTGTCTCCGGATATCACGGACGGTGAGGTATATTTACCTGGCTACGCGCTGCTTAGAACTGATCGCTCCGTTGGTCGCCAAGGCGGAGGCGTTGTACTGTATGTGAGCTGTAACTTAGATGTGTTGAGGACTTGCACATTCCAGTCGTCGGATCAGACTGTTGAAGCCCTATCGGCTGTTTTGTGCACTTCCTCTACCCAGTTTACAGTTATAGTGGTATACAGAAGTCCTGGAAGTTCCTCCAGGGGGATACTTGACTTTATTCGCACTTAGTCTGCGAATAAGTGTTTAGTTCTAGGGGATTTCAACCTCCCGGAAGTCTGTTGGGCCGATCTTTCTTGCAATTCGGCATTAGGAACATTCGGTGCAGACTTCCTTGAACTGACTCTCCAAGTGCCTTTGCACCAGTTCGTTGACTTTCCCACTAGGTATATGGACAACCAAATGCCATCTACTTTGGATTTGGTTTTCGCTAAGTCCCTGGACTTCGTGACTGACGTTTCATGCGGTGCACCTCTAGGGTCCAGCGATCACGCATGCATATCCTTTCGATGTGCTCTTTCAAGGCACCAAGAGACCGCTGTTGAATTACTTCCGAATATTTGGCGGGCGGACTTTAGTGCAATGCGAACTAAGGCTTCAGTTCTGAACTGTGAGATTTCGATGGCTGACTCTGTCCAGTTAGCCTGGGATAAATTTAAGGCATACCTTACGGAGGTTTCCGCACCCTATATTCCACTCATTAGGAAAAGAGGGTTAAGGGCACAGCCTCCATGGATAGATACCACAGGCAAGTACCTACTCAAGAAACGGTCTAGATGCTGGCGAACCTACCAAGCAGCTCCATCAGCCAGTACCTATGATAGTTATCGAGAGAATAGAAATAAATGTAAGCAACATCTCAGAACTGCTCGTCTCCAATACGAGCAGGGTTTAGCGGACTCGGCCGCAGCTAATCCCAAGAAGTTTTTTGCTTACGTTAAAAGACGCAGCGGGGCAAAATTGTCTATACCAGCTTTATTGCGAGCAGACGGGACCCCTGCGCAAACTGACTATGACAAGGCTTGTATACTGAGTGATCAGTATACTGCGGTCTTTGCTCGGGAGACCTCTTTACCGCAGGTTGAATTGGTTTCAAGAGTTCCAGAGGATTCTTGCTTAGCTGAATTTAGCATAACGGAGACTCAGGTCTTCGAGCTACTGCAAGGCATTAATCCCTCTAAAGCTTCCGGTCCTGATTCAATTCATCCGAAGCTGTTGCATGAACTGGCCACTGAGCTGAGTGGTCCGCTCACGTGCGTATTTTCAATATCGCTGGACAGCTGCAGCCTACCTTCGGAATGGAAGGAGGCAATCATCTCTCCGATTTTTAAGGGCGGTGACAGCGCTCTACCCGCGAACTACCGGCCTGTCAGTTTGACAAGCGTAGTAGTCAAGTTGTTCGAGAAGCTGATAAGGGATTCAGTGGAGAACCACCTGAATCGATTCAACCTTCTCAGTGTTGCACAACATGGATTCCGCAAAGGATTTTCATGTCAGACTAATTTACTTGTAGCTCGTGAAAGCTGGGCCGAAGCGGTAGACAGTGGCCACGCTGTAGACGTGCTATTCGTAGATTTTTCGAAAGCTTTTGACACTGTTCCACATCTTCGGCTCTCACTAAAGTTGAGATCTTACGGGATATCTGGTCGCGCCCTTCAATGGGTGTCTGCCTTCCTTGAGGGGAGGGAACAGTGCGTACGGGTGGGGCGTAGCCTTTCGCTCAGGCAAGCTGTCCTTAGTGGCGTTCCGCAGGGCTCGGTATTGGGGCCATTGTTGTTCGCGATCTATGTAAATGACTTGCCGGGAGAGCTAGGGGTGTCATCATTAATGTTTGCTGACGACCTTAAGCTCTGGAATATTGTGGATATCCCGGGGGGTCCTGAGGCAATTCAGCGTGCCTTGGATAGACTCTGGGAATGGTCTATCTTATGGTTGATGCCCATAAATAGGGCCAAGTGCTCTGTTCTCCGAATCGGAGCTGCTAATCCTCCCACCCGATATGTTCTCGGCGGTGGTGAACTCCCTGTTGTCACTCAGCAGGTTGATTTAGGAGTCGTACACGCATCAGCACTTCATTCTGGAGACAACTGGAAGAAGGCTGCTTGTCGAGGGTTTCGTATGATGTGGTTTATCCGCCGCTCTTTCGGAATCTTAACGGCCAAGTTGTTTGTGAAGCTATTTTCGGCATTCGTCCGACCCCACCTGGAATATTGTATTCAGGCTTGTCCACCATGTCTTAACCGAGACAAAATGGACTTGGAGAGGGTGTTACGAGTGGGCACTCGGTTAGTGCAGGGTCTACGGGGACAGACGTATCCTGAACGCTTGCTCAGTTTGGGGATGTACTCCATGCACTACCGAAGGATAAGAGGGGACCTGATTCTCACTTATCGTATTTTGACGGGTAAGATTGGCCCGGACTTGTCAGGGCTTTTTAGTCCCGCTACGTTACCTAGTCTCCGCGGTCACCCACTGAAACTGCATAAACCACGGTCTGATAGGATTAGGACGGAAACTCGTCTATCGCGCCGAGTTATAGATCGCTGGAATTCTCTTCCAGATCACGTGGTTAGGGAACCTACGGTTAAGGGTTTTGCGCGCCAGCTCGATGCTCTTGGGTGGCAACAGCAAACCTTTCCTTTTTCCTAGCTGACTCACCTTCATTTTTCAGTTCTTTTTTATTGACTCAAATATCTTGGTATTCCACTTGCTTAGCTCTTACCACTTTCTCTTTTGCCTCCTGCGTTTACTTTTTTCTCTTTTTTACTTCACGTAACCGACCCAGCAGGGACTGCTAGGGCAGGATACGTGGGCATTAATTGGTTGGACGGGGTGTGATGCGGTCTTTGTTTTAGGTCCATCAGTATTTCAAAGTTCGCCAACTCCTGGTTCAACGACCCGCCGAAGAAGGAACACTCACGGGATCTATCCTATCGTTCCAGTCCCGCTTGAACTTGAACTTGAACTTGTCTAATTAATTTGCATAGGTGACCTTGTTGGTCTGAGGGAATGATGATCAGCAGAAAATGCGAATTTTTAAAGTTGATGAGTTGGCTATCTGGGGGAGGATGATCAGTATAACGGCCGTACCCGAATTTCAAAAACCTTGCTCAAAACCTCAATGACACGGGCTATTCAGAAGATAAACATGAAACGTTTTCAAAATTCGTGCGGTAGTGGGAATGGAATTATCACGGAGTAAATTATTTGTGGTAGGTAAGTGGGTAAAGTAGCCGTACTTACTACCAATCAGTGTGTAACCATTTATGCGCGCTGTTAGACATCAGCTGTGACATGCGTTAGTTGCTTGAATAGATATGAGTTTGATGTAAGTATCGTTGTGAACACACCCTAAATATGCATCTCCTACCTCATCGCTAGACACAGTCAAGCGTTGGTTTTTTGCTGATTCCGCGCTCCCTTGGCCGTTTTAAAATGAATATTTTTCGGTTTCTTGGCGATGCGGCTCATTTCATCGCAATTATTATACTTCTCATGAAAATCTGGAAAACAAGATCTTGTGCTGGTAATGTTTCCCTATTTCTTTTATTGGGCATAGGCTTGTCTGGTCGTAGCCAAGTTGCTTTCGCGTTGGTGTTCACTACACGATATATTGACCTTCTCACAACCTTTATTTCTCTATATAATTCTGCAGCCAAAATCATTTTTATCGCATCCTCTTATTTCACGGTTTACTTGATGTACAAAAAATTCAAAGCTACGTATGACAGTAACCACGATACTTTTCACATGAGCATTCTACTGGTCCCTTGTGCTGTGCTCGCACTTTTGGTTAATGAGAGATTCACGGTTATGGAGGTTAGTTTGTAGCTGAATGTCCATCGTCTAGGTTCTTTGGGCATTTTCAATCTACCTGGAAGCCGTCGCGATCCTGCCACAGTTATTTCTGATAAGCAAGACTGGCGAGGCT